TCACCAGTTGCAGTAGTAAAGTGATAGATAATTATAAGGTGACATTTTCAAAAGCATGCAATTCCTGTTGAGTTTCAGTGGGACTTAGATGCTTTTAAAATGTTACTTTGTAATACCTAAAACAATAAATAAAAATGAAGTGTGTGAACAAAGCCCCAGATCTTGAAGTATTAAGGCATCTAACTCGCATTGAAATTAGTATGAGTTAGGTGCCTCAAACACTGTTCAGGATCTAGACCAAAGAATCAAGAGTAACTAAAAAAGGCTGGTAAACAGAAGCATATATTGTAAGTTTTTGACTTTGGAAGGGCATGTAGAAGTGTTTTTCAGGATCAGACTATTAGTGCATTCTATATGTAAAAGGGAAACTGGTTAATCTTACCGGGTGAGGCTTACTGGTAACTAACTAATCAGCGCCCAGCCAGGCCTGGCTCACAACACTCTGCCATGGGCGGGAACATGCTCCAGTTGGGCTAGAGCACCCCGCAGTGTGGCAGGCCTGACCTGATTCGTCTGGAGTACCCTCCCCACCCCCACAGCACAATGGTTAACCGGTTAAACAAAAAGTTTAACAAGTTAACTATTCTAGTTCATTCACAGAGATTAATGACAGCATCGCAGAAACTAAGGCTCTCTAGACTATTCAAGCTAAGGAAAAATACTTAAAACTATTTAGTTGGAGGGAAGGTCCTGAGAAGCAGAAAGAGACCCAAGAATGAACTTCAGGGCAAGCACAGTATTTTTGTTCTGTAATCATGCAGTGCTTACAATGGGGTTGTAGCCCATGACTAGGACCTATGCTACAGGAACTACAGTAGCATTTCTATAGTGCTATGACTATGCTAGCATAACCCTATATTCTTAGATGCAGCCTATGAGGATGGAAGGAGTTTTTCTATTGTAGGAACACCACCTCCCATGTGATGGTAGCTAAGTTGATGGAATTATTCTTCCATTGACCTGTATTTACACCAGTAGTTAGGTCAGCATAGCAACGGTGCTCTGGTGTGTAGCTTTTTTCACATTCCTGAGCACTATAGCTATGTCCACCTAAATTTTAAATGTAGCAGGGCTAGGACTTTTAGGTGCTGTGGCAGTATAAATACTGGTTGGACCTTCCAGATCCAGCACCATCAGGACCTGACTGCTTCCGAATGAGACAATATGCTGGATCAGGAGCAATTCCTCACCACTGGCTTCCGAGCCCACTCCCTGCTATGGCTTCACCTCCTTCCCATTGAATCTGGCTGGCTTGCTTGCCCAGCTGCTACCTACCACCTTCCTGGAAGCCCAGGCTCCAGCTCCTGCTGTGGAGTCCCGGCTGTGTGCTCCTTGTGGCTGCTGTGGGGCTCTGTCCCTGCTTGCCACAGGGCTCCGGGATGCTGCAAGAGAACTCAGACCCCACATTGTCATAGGGCTCCAGCTCCGACCCTGCACATGGGGGGCTGCCCCAGGGCTCTGGCCCCATGCTACTTGGGGCTGCTGCATACTGGCGGAAGCTGCCATGGAGACTGACCCTGGTCCCATGCTGCCCCCAGCCCTGGCTGGCCCTACTATCCTTAGGCTCCTGAGCTCTCCAGTCCAGGAGCATCAGTGGTCCTGCTGGTCCCCAGTAATAATTAATCACACATTACGAATACATTTGCAGTGTGATATAGCAGCCATGGTTTGTGGTATACATATACAGACATTGCATGTCTCTCTCTCGTGCTCTGGTACAACTCAGTTCATGGGCTCTTTAATGTCCAGAAATATAAATTGAAGGCTCAAAGTGACGAAAAAGTAAGAGTGTAGAGAGACTGAATCATGTGGAAGAACTTAGAAGAACTAAGTATGTATAGTTTCACCAAAGAGGTGGTTAAGGAGGAGTTAAGGCACAAATTCTGGTTCCTGTTCCATGTATTTTGGCAATCTAGCAGCACAAAGATGTCCTCTAGATAGCTAGGGATTTCTCAGAGTGGTATAGGGTCATAGCAAATAGTGCACTATCTGTATTGCCACCTCTGTCCCCTTGCAGGAGACATGAATTGGGGATTCCTATGTCTTAGTGTCCCCAGCTGCTAGATTAGCTTTTAAGGGCATGGTAGGAAGTCCATACTATGACATCTTTGAGTTATTATGTCAAGAACTTGCCTAGGGGCTTAGTCATGGCACCAGGATTGGGAAGTCTGTAAAAAAGTGAATTACAGTAGAAGCTTTATGATCACCAGACTTACCAAATGACAGGTCAACAACATGCCTCATTTGGAACCAGAAGCATGCAGTGAGACAGCAGAAACCAAACAACCATCACGTACCCATCCCCCCCAAAAAACAACTCCAAGTAAATAGTATATAGTACAGTACTGTGTTAAATGTAAACTACTAAATAAAAAGTTTGTGTTCATTTTATATAAATTAAGATGGTTAAAAACAGCATTTTTCTTCTGAACAGTAAAGTTTCAAAGCTATATTAAGTTAATGTTCAGTTATAAACTTTCAAAAGAACAACCGTAATATTTTGTTTAGAGGTACGACCAACCTCCATTCCCAAGGTGTTCATAAATCTGAGTTTCAATTGTAATTCTCTATTCCATTTCCACCTAGCCCCTCTTTTCTTAGCAGTGTGAGCACAGTTGATACAGAGGCTTGGATTTGTGCCCATGTCTGCAAATATTTGAAATTCCTTTAAATAAAAATGCATTGGAGAGAAATTATTTAGGTTGGCATATGTAGGCATTACCATATGAGATAGGATGACATATGAAAAGGAAAAATGTAATCTCAGTAGCAATACAGACTTTCTGGAAATGCAATGTATTAGAAGGTGGCATAGCTGGAAAATTTCCTGGACATTATGTTGCTTTGAAAGTTTAAAATACACTGGACAGATTACAAGAAATGTACTAACTTGCATGCGAGGGGGAGATGAAAAGGTGATTTACTATCTTTTCTAGTTCACGTCTATGATCTGAGCATCCACTGAATATTTCTGCATGTTATTCACTATTAATTTAATAACTTTCCAATTGTTTTCATAACAATTGAAATAGAAGTACGTTTTAGGATACAGACAGTGGTTCTCATCCATGGGCCTCAGGGGCCACAACCTACCTCAAGGGGGCCACATGAAAAAAACCTGAACATTAGGTAAATTATGTACCTTTTTTTCTAACTAACAGCGGCTATGGGGGGGCCACAGAGGTGAACGAGGCTTAGAAGGGGGCCATGAGGAAAAAAAGGTTGAGAAACACTATACTAGAAGACTGGGGCAGCAGTGGGGCCATGCACCCACGCTGCCGGCTTCTTCCCAGTGCTGACGGAGGGACGGAGGGGGTTGTACACTCTGGTTGCTGGCTTCACCCCAGGGTGAGAGTGATATGCAGGCCTCCCCCTGGTGTGTGTTTGGGGGAGTCCAGGGGGGATATGCTGACAGACGGCTGCTCCCCAGGGCAGGCTTGGGTGTCACTATTGCCAGCCAGTGGCTTCCTGCTGGGGCACTTGCCGCCCTTCTAGTGCCATTCCACAGTATAACTCCCTATTATCAGACCCTTCCCTTTCCATTGTATGAGAAACAAATGAATTCCTGGCACATCTCATTGCCCTGGCAAAATCAAACCCTGACCTTGTTTTGAGTTATGATAAGAGGAAGCTGCATACCAAATTTGGTGGTCCTAGTTTTTATCATTTAGGAGTTCTTGAACAAATGGACTCACAAACAGACAGAAAGACAGATGCACATTTCTAAAATATATACTGTACATAGATTTTTGAATTTTAAATTGCTTTCCTTATTCCAAAATGAACTAGAAAAATGTTCTTTTGCATGTTTATAGTTAATAAAATGCAAGCCATTGTCTACTGCACTTGTTCAATTTATCCAGAAGAAAATGAAGCAGTAGTGAACAAAGCACTGGAATCTGGAGTGGAAGGAAGTAAAGTACAGCCTTACAGGTAAGGAATAAAATCCTTTCTGAGGAAGACTAAAGAACATATAGAGGAGTTAAATACATATTTCCATTTTTAACTTTGGTCAGCTATGTTGGTTGAACATTTGCCATAGATATCTATTTTATGAACTTATGAAGATTATTATTTCTTAAATCTAAATGATGAATAATGTTTAAGTAAAGGGAGCTTTTGCTATCTTCTTTCCCTCCCAAAATCTTAAATAACGTAACTATCTGTTCTCTATGACCAGTTTAAATGGGCGGTACATGTTTAATGAACTCATGTCTTAGCTAGAAAGCCAAGTTTTTATATTCCAGGATGTCCTCAAAATATAGGACCTAGTTGTCTGCTCAGCTTCCTTGAGGCTGGGAGGCAACCAGGCTGCTGCAGTTGTCCTGAGATCCCCAAAGCTCATGAGACTCCTGTAGGCTTGGCAGTCTGATTTCCCTTCCCTGTCTCAAGAACATGGTGATTAAAAGGAAAACCGTCCAAATTCTGTCCACTACATAGGTAAGAACTGAATACACACAGTATATTACTTAATATATAGTAGTTGTGAATTAAACCATTTTTCATTTCTTGTGTTTAAATCCCCTTCAGAGCATGGTTTCAGAGATATTCTAACTTTTTACTATAGCAAATCTGTTATAATGTCTGATAAGGTTTGAATTCTACCTCCTTACTATATGTTGTCCAATGAAAAGGACTAGATTTGCTGACCGGGTCCTTGATTTAATCCCAAAATTTTCTCTTGTATGGCTTGCCTAACACCAGCTTAGAGGTAAAAGCAGAAGTGTCAAGTATATGATTTTAGCAGATTTGCCTTTTTGTAAAACAAAAAGTTGGCAAAAAAATCAGACAAATTCTTATTCACTCTTACACCAAATGTTGACCATACTTTAGGTCAGAATTTTTATTTTTATCCTAAAACATGACCTCTCCATCTTCCTTGTGTCATGGTAATGTTAAATATTTTTCTGTCACCTGCCATTCCTTTTGGTGATATAGAAGTGCAAAGTGTGTTACTCCCAGATGGCTGATCTGATTGCACAGTTTCTCTCTGATCTGCATTCTGGCAGAGTGGGGAGTAGAGTATTACTGGAATGGAAATACAGGCAGTCCCCGGGTTACGTACAAGATAGGGACTGTAGGTTTGTTCTTAAGTTGAATTTGTATGTAAGTCGGAACTGGCGTCCAGATTCAGCCGCTGTTGAAACTGACCAGTGGCTGACTACAGGAAGCCCGAGGCAGAGCTGCTCTGCCCCGGGCTTCCTGGAATCAGCCGGAGTAGAGTATTACTGGAATGGAAATACAGGCAGTCCCCGGGTTACGTACAAGATAGGGACTGTAGGTTTGTTCTTAAGTTGAATTTGTATGTAAGTCGGAACTGGCGTCCAGATTCAGCCGCTGTTGAAACTGACCAGTGGCTGACTACAGGAAGCCCGAGGCAGAGCTGCTCTGCCCCGGGCTTCCTGGAATCAGCCGCTGATCAGTTTCAACAGCATCTGACTGGACGCCT